CTTGCATAAATTATCTCATTATCGCTTATAACTTGCTTCAAAGTTTCTTCCGAGACTTGAAATTTTTTTTTGATTCATTCAGACAAGTCCTATTCTTTACAAATTTTCACTCTGATAATGAGTGGAAATCCCCTAATTCCTATGGATGTTGAAGATCCTAAAAAGACTCCTAATGTTTCGAAGATAGAAGAACTTGATACTCAACGAAAAGAATTTTGTAAAGATTCAGAGCGTCTTACTTTGGAACAGCTTCAACGAGAGATTGGTTTCATTCATTTATTTTTTTCAGAATTTTGAAGATTGAATGACCGAATTCAGTCATAAATATTGGAAAAAAAATGTTTGTAAGTTATGAAAATGAAAAGAAGTTAAAAGAGGTGTATATTGAACTTTTGACCCCCACATATGAGTGATTTGGAAAGAGGAGAGTCTCAGTATTTCATAAATTCATTTTATTTTTTCCGAATTGCCAAAAACGCTGCGAGAGATCGCTTCAAAGGAGATATGAAGGGGTGAAAGACAATGGGAAATTAGAGACGCAGATGAACCTGTGACAGGATTCAATGCACAGTTTTGTGTTCGGTTTACACTTACTTTAATTAAGAAGAGACAAACAGCTCATCAACAAAAAAAATATGGCATCAAAGAATAAAGTTTTCAGGCAATCGTGAATGCTACTCATGATCGGAAGACGTTTTTGTGAAAGCGAAGAAAGGTAAGTTAAACCTCAAATAAAATTTTTTAAAAAGGGTCTTTCAGATAAAGGTATTATTACGGAGGAATGTCGATCGATCTGTTATAACATAACTTGTTAGAATCATAGAGACTACTCGTATTTAATGTGTCACCACATTCTTTCAAAACTTCATCATGATTTTTTTCTGGCTCGTTGTGTTCAATGCAGACAAAATATATGGAACATCGCAAACTCGCCGCTCTGAGAGAACAACAAAACTGCTAAGGATTCGGACACAAAACGTTCTGGATGGTCACAAGTTTACGAGAAGGAAGGGTAAACAGTTTTCTTCTCATAATAAACAGCGTACGTACGATAGTATTCAAATAGAAAATTAAAGAAGAGTATTCAAATAAAAAATTTTGAAAGTATATTTCCTTCTTCCTCTAATTTGAATCAACATGGATAAATTTATTTTATAATAGAAACATGTGATCAGTACCTGCCTTTTCATAAATCTTATATTAACTTAGACGCCACATTAACTAAAAATGATGCTGCAGGATCATCACTTGCAGATACTGATGAGGTGTCATTAACAAACAATAGCTCTATGTTCTCATCTGATAGAGCAACTTATAGTTTGGATGGTATGCAAGTTGAAAATGTCATTGCTCTTGGAAGAGCTTCACTATTAAAAGGTCTACTTACTTATTCTTTGACAATGAATAAACAAAATACTTTCGGATCTTCGAGACAAAGATTATCATGACTTATACAATAAATAATATACGAAAAATAGAAAAAATAACCTGTTTTTTGTATTCCATTGACTCATATTTCTGGATTTGCTGGATGCTATTTTCGGAGACCAAAAGTAGTCATTTAATAAAAAAAAACTTCAAAACTCGTCTGATGTGTATTATTTTCCACTTCTTGGCTATGTGTGATTGTGAAAACCAAAGTAATAGGTGAAACAAAAAAGGCAAAAACAAGGGCACCCCCGAGAATTGATCGCTGGACCTTGTTGTTGTCGGACTAAGCGCCTACCGACTGCGCTGGGGGTGCCCCCAATGTGAGAGAGCAAACAGAGAACAAGACAGTGTGTGTGAAATGATGTGTTGTTGCGTTTCATTCTTGTAACTTTGATTGCGTTTATAAGTTACTCTTGAATTTTTAATTTCAACTTGAGTCCGGTGCTCTTCATCTTTCAGTTATTCAATATTGGTGATCTGAACAAATATATTTCATCCTTTCCAACATGAACTTCGACCCATTAAAAAACACAAATATTACTGAAGCTTTGAAAATGTTCTATGATTTGTGAGTTCGGTTTATTTTTCAAGATTCAGTTCTGCAACCTATAAAGTTTTAAGACAAGAAGAGGATGTTTATTACGAGAAACGAAGTTTCAAACGATTTCAAAGAGGAAAGTTCAGTTATTTTTTGAGATTAAATGACCAGTATGATGATCTTCACTTCACTAGAGATTGTTTCAACCCTTGGAGTGGAAATGATAATGATAGGGATATTCTTTCAAAACTTAATTCTGTTTTAGAGAGATCGGTTAACGTCTGACTTCTTCAGTCTCCTTCCGCTTTGTTGAAAAAAGTTTTACTCGTCTATCTTTTTGTAATAAGGTTTCTGATCAAAAGTTGAAACTGATAGCGTTTGAGCTTTTTGATATCATATACGTTAATGCATTTCAAACGATTACTTCGTGGTTCTTAGGTGTTGACTTACTTCTCACTAACAATAAGGATATCTCAAGGTTTGGAAAACATACCGTTAACGTTACCTGATGTATTAAACAATTTCAGCGGCTTTGTCGATTGACAACGTTCGTATGAAAAATATGTAGTAGTACACCTTGAATATTCCGATCCTGACTGACTATCCTCACCTTTCCGAACAAGTTTGGGTTACTTTTGCGTTTATAATTTGGGTTGTCAAAGAATATATTTATTACAAAGTTCAATAACAATATAATAAAAGAAACTTTAAGCATCGTATAATAAAAATTAATATTAATGTTTGAATATCTGTTGATTTTCTGGAATGTTCAAACAAAATGTGTGACCCGTACTATGCATTCTCATTTTATTTTATTCACTCAAGCATGGAAGTGTCGGTTGATAAATTGCTGGATTGAGGGTTGTGTATTGAGTAAGCAGTTTGGGAACATAGTTATAAGCTTCCTGAGAGCGATAGCCGAAATGAGATATCAAAGTGCGATTGAATAGTCGGAGCCTAGAAATTGATGTTTTTGTTAACTACTTCTCTTTTATGGATATCACCTTTGTCCAGTGAGCCCATGTAAGAAATGCAAATAGCTCGCTCTTATAGAATGAGGTTGAATGGTTGACATCCATAATACATAACCAGTGGACAGACTGTACAGAATAATATCTCCATACTTGATGTTGGGAGCCCATCCACGAGATACAAGCTCATAATAAACAATCTATTATTGAGCTGAAAGTTACTGCGAACATGATCATATCAACAACCTCAACTGCTTTCCAGAATGTGTACATAGCTACTGTGTTGTTAGGATAGATGATCATAGCCAATGACGAAACCATACCGGCAGATACGTTTTTGATTGTTCTGTTACCGATGTTCAGTCGATTCATTGAACAGCGAACACTCTGAACGCAAAGTATATACTGACCACTCCGCACCGACTCACGTGGAAAAGTAATGGAAGAAGAGCTAAGAATGCAGGTAACTTCTGGAATCTCAGGGAAAACATTTTCCGAATGATTGCTTGTGGGTTCGTTATAAGCTTTGGAAATCCACCTATTACTGTGAGCGCTGTTGATAATCCGTAGCCTAACACATAATTTCGCACAAAGTTCTGAAGATGGATTTGTTTTCTTATTCATTGAAAATGTAGCATACCTCCATGATATTGCTAGCACACGAGTTTTCATGCTCACAATGCTCAGTTTTTGAGCCTTCTTTCCTTAAATTAGTTAAGAAAGCTTTGAAACTGATAGGAACTGGAAGCTTCTCCAGATTTTCACTTTTCTTGTTGATTCCGTGTGTAAGTCTGTTTTCAATATTACTTAAATTTAATCTGCGTGAAAACATACTTAAAGAAATCCAGCATAGGTTTGCTCAACATGTTTTTCGAGAACAAAACCATGAAAATAGCTAAACCAGCAGCAAACGGAATACATTGACCGTATTTGATAGCAACAGCTGATCCTTGGATACACAAATGACGGTAAAAGGTTTCAGATGCCTAATCCAGTGAGAAAGTAAAAACAATTGAAACCGATAGTTTACCAAGTTAAGAAGATATAATGCAAGTCCTGGTCGACGAGTAGGCTTCTCCACAAAAATGGCTATGAAACTAGCAAGTATGCTACTGAGTCCTCCCAAAGTGAAAGGAGTGAACATTCCAAAAAGATGTCTCAAATAAATATGATATAAAGACTATGAAGCATATTGCTTTACCTCAAACGGCAAATGAACCACAAATAGAGACACAGGTTAACCATTAAGAAAGCTGATGATTGAACAACATCTCTGGCATATCTCTTGAAATCAAACTTTTTTGATTTTCGTAACGCTAACAGAGCTCCAATCTAAATGTACCATGCATTAATAAAATAATATATGATCTGCTTACTAAATAGAATGGTATATAAGTCTTGAGGGAGAATTTCAATCCATCCGGCATAGCAACCTTAATTATATAAATCAAGTATTTATTATATATATATATATGTATACAAACCAATATTGCTTTATGACAATCAGGATGCCATGTATGAACAGTTTCATAACAATTAGTTGTTAAGGTAGGTATATTCCACCAAGCGGCTAAACGTGATAGAACAGCCATTCTTAAACTTAATATAATGAAAGATACACACATACTTATATATATATAATATGAAGAGAAGACATGAAAAATAAGAAAAAAGAATTGATAGTATTAGAAAATCGAAACACTCATATGGTGCGATAGCGATTTGAACATCAATGAATCGTTATCGCTTAACAACTTGAACGAAATATTTATATAACTGAACAGACTAGAGATATTCAATATGACTTTTTCATTCATAATCATAAATATTAAAAATAAAATTACATTTTTAACTTCGTTGTCTACTTCATTGCATTCTTGATCAACACACAATACAATGTAGGCAACAGTTCTTATCATACACTATGCATACTCTTCACTTATCATTCTATTTTCATTTATATAAATCTTATACTCTCTTCATCTTTCACTATCTCTCCTAAACACTAGTGCTTTCTGATATTTGGTGGAAAGACTATTGAAAATGTATAAATCCATAATGTGCACTGTCTTACAATCGTATGATTTTCTAATGGACTGATTTGATATAGTCTTTAGCGGTGATAAACAGGTTTTGGCGCCAAAAAATTTTTTTTGCCGGTCATTTTCGATAGCGTTCATTCGCCAGTTGGCTAGTATTAAGAACATTGAAACCATTAGATACAATAATTTATTTTTATGATAATAATTTATATATGTATAAATATATAGTTTGATATATTATATAATTAAAATATGATGAAAAGATTGATTGGGAAGGAAGAGAGAAGAATAGAGGTAACGAACAAGTACTGTTATATACATTATATATGATAAACTATTCAAATATTTATTTTTAATTTTCATTTGGTTAACAGATTGGACATTCTGTTAATCAAATTTTTCTATAAAATTGTTATCTTTAAAAGTCCAAAGGGTAGGAATCGAAAAACAGCATCTGTAAAGAGAGAAAGAGAGAAGAGGAAGAGAGTGAAAGAGAGTAAGAGATGGTTCCTCATATTAGTAAGTAGTATGGACTTATAAATAGAAAAGATCATGAAGAAAGTTACTTTCTGCCTGTTCCCCATTTAGATGGAACATCTCCAGGTGTCAAACGAGAGATAGCATCCCATTGCATAATATTTCGAGAATACCTTAATTATATACACATAGAAGCGTGAGATGTTTGTTATATTACCATTTTGGCCAATCTTGTGGATCATATCTAGCCAAGTAGCCTTGTGAAACAATAGTACCTGGATGTGGATGTGCATATGATTTCAGTTCATCATCATACTTATAAGTTTGACGCTTATCACGTGGAATAACAGCAGCAAATACTATAATGATATATAGTTATTGTATAATATATAAGTTATATCCTTCTTGAACATACCTATGTTAATTATAATGAGAAGTAACGTTACAACGTGAACAGAACGCATGCTTATATGGGTCGTAGAAAATGAGAACAAAGTGTGAGAGAAGACAGTTTAGATTGAAATGACTTTAAGTTGTCATTTATCTCTCTTTTAAATAAGATTCTTGATATTTTCAAGGAGAACCGCCCATTCTCCTTTTTCCTTCTGCTCGTCTATCCCACCTCCCCTCATCCCTCCTTCCTTCTATTCTATCCTCTAGCTATTCTTGTATATGCAATATGTATTCATAATTTCTTTAATAATCCAGAATTTTTCTTGTTTTATATCTCATCATCAGTCTACAAACAGGATATGATGTAATGGATAAAGATTATGCAAATGATTTAGATAGATGAGGGAGGTATCATCATGTTCATTGAAACATTTTCAAAATTGATAAATGATTTATTCGATTTGTTTGATATAATTCTCATTTTCTATCTTTCTCAACTCGTTGTTCCGGATTTCTCCAATAAGATTCAATTGACCTATAAAAAAATCTTTTTTTTTTCACTTATTTCTCTGTCAATTTGAATCTTTTTTTTTCAGTTTTGACATGTTACCGTATACTTATTGAAACATAATGATAATCGTTCCATATAATCCTAATGGTATACCATCTGAGGGAATGGATGATGAAGGTAGCTTTATACTTATAACACACATGGATGATGAAGGTAGCTTTATACTATACTTATAACATGTTTTTCCACAGTTAGGAAAAGAGAGGGGGGTTGATAGAGGTTTTTATAGTTTCAGCTCTTGCTTATGCTATACCATATAAGAGAGAGAAATAATGATTCAGGGTATAACTCTTAAGAAAACAAAAAAAAAAAATATTTATCAGAAAAAAAAGAATAAAAAAAAGAATGAAAACATCAGAATCGAATCAAATAATTATGAAAACAGATCAATTGAAAGAACAATTGGTGACACAAAAATTACTTGAAAACGAAATAGAGTTTTGTGTTGTTGTTGTTGTTGACAAAATGAAATGAAAAATGAAAATGAAAAAATGACATAAGGAGGTTATATATTAATGAGGAAATATACTTATAACATACTAACTATGTGATAATATGTTAATTATTATATTATTAAGTATGTAAACAATAAACAAACATATAATTGTAGTAAGGATGAAATAGAGATGAATGGCTGTATAATAGACAGGGAGGCAAGTTTCAAATGAATTCATCAGTTCTCGAACACCTTTCACCTTTTAATGTTTCAAGATGAAATTGAGATTTAGAAAAAGAAAAATGGAATACGAAAAGCTTAGGAAAGACGATCGAGATGCAGAATTATAATTCATATAGTTAGTATATATAAAAATAAGACTAGAAAACATTGATTGACATAGTTAAAGCATGGATCATGGGTTATAAGCTCTCTTTTAGTTTACCGGGCATTTTGATTATTTCGAACCAGATTAAAGCCTTCAACTGAAGTTAACTTAGTAATAGCACAAAAATGGAGATCAAAAGTATATAAAGTATAATATGAGTGCAGATTAAAGCTGAGAAGAACAATGATTGAGTATTCATAGAATAGGATTAGAAGCAGGAAGCAATTGAAACATTAGGATTGAAGAGTCTAGTCATTAATCCAATGTTACTTGTCCATGATCTGTGTCCCAAAACTGCGTTGGAGTACGATCGACATTATTAAAGTCTTGCCATAGTGCTAGTATAAGCTCACTTGTCATAAGCTCACCAGCATGTGTAGAAATCATACGAAGCATGAAAACTCCTATAAATCATCATATGATCAAGGCCATTTCTAATATATGCATGATATACCATCTTTGCGCAGGAAATTATTTGTGAATTTTCGGAGCGTAACATCGTCTGCGACAGGTTTAGAGGGATGATCAGCTAAGACACGTAGATATTTACGGACAAATGCCATTCCCTGCAATATAATATATGAATCTATGAAGAATTCTGATCGTCTCACTTGGCTAGGGATAAACATAATAAGAACCCAATAACATGTATTGAAGACTGTTATAACTCCAACAGTCAAAAACCAAAACCTATAATCGAATTACTGTAGTCTGCTCAGATATTGTCTGTTACCACAAGAAGAGAAATATTTTTTCGTTGAACATATTAATCATGAGCACACATTGAACTGTATGACGATGAATGTTACCAAGAACTCGCACCTAAAAAAAGATTTTGAATTCTCGAACTAGTTGATTTGATTATACTTCGAAGTCACATAAAGTAACTCTGGGGAACATTCCAGTTTGTTCCCACTCTATCTCATGCATAAGATCTTTCAGTAACGAAAAACCATAGGCAAGATCATTTGAGCCAAGTAAGTGATTGAGTAAGAAGAATTGAAGCAAAACGTTAGCAGAGTAGAGAACCTGAATTTCATGAGTATGTAACTCTATCACTAAGTGATTTTTATACTTTAATGCCAATGTACAGCATTGTAACATAGCATCCACAATGTCTGCCGCAATTTATTCCCAGTTGCATATTTGCAAAGCATGTTCTTGAGTGTCCCGATCGATCAATATTATTCAACTGAAACATATTATTCAGTAAAACATTCCAATTATTTCCTTCTTCAAAAATTTTTCATGAGGAAGATATGGCTGCCTGCCATCTGTGGTACCACGTTTTTAATAACTGAATCTACCTGGACCTCATCCTGCATGTGTCTGGCCATAGTGTATACAGTTCGGGTCTTGACTTCTGTATCCATCAGTCTAGCATCGCAGGCCATTTGAACGAGGCCTTGTAGATTTATACCTAAAGTTCAACATCATGAGTATGAATAGCACTTTATAAAATATAATCAGCTATATCAAAGTTAACACTAACCACTATGCCAATATAGTAATCCTCTCCATAATATGCAAGGAACATAAAATAGTAATGCTTCTATCGCCAAGATGAAAGGAACCCATTGGTAATATCCAATTTGACGATTTCGACGTGAATATATCTCACGTGGAATATCCTCCTGAATATAATTATGAGTGTGATGCGCAACGAGACTTTTAGAAATACCTGCATTGGAACCCAATAGGTATTTTGAACCCAACAGTAATTTTCGGTATATTGTTCCATAGCATCAGTGAAGGTAGCTGGCACCCAGCATTGGATGGGGAAACCTATAAACGACAGTTAAGAGATCATAGATCTTAATCTATTTCAATGTCTTCATCCATATAAGGATATGAGACTTATGATGTCTATATGTGTAATACTCACCAACATATTGCTTAGCAGACACAAGAAGTGCGAAAGAAGCTACTGAAAACAAATATTGATTAGATTTCAGAATGTTCAACATCTCTCATACGTATTGTCGTCGTATAATAATAATTTAATTTATCCACGAAATCGTCATCTAATCGTGGGTATAACGCCCTAAAAGTTGAAGCCAAATAGTAGAGTATCATTGCTGGTCCAAATTCTTTTTTATGACCGTGTCCTTTAAAGATTATTTATTAATATTTTATATTCGCAAGATATGTATATTACCGCCTGCACCGTGGCCACCAGGCACACCTACGTGATGTGAATCAATTCGCAGTTGATGAGATCCGTCCAAAAGCTTTTGTGCCTAATTAAAATAAAAAAAATAATAAAACAAATAGATGAAAATATTATATTAATAGATATTTTTTTATAAGATCTGAAAGGTTTCCTTTATCTCTTTAACATACCCTATGTGGCATATAACGAGCTGTGAAGCCTCTTATAGGTCTGTACATTTTGGTATTCATCTACTAGTAGACAGATGTTAGAAGCATTTTAAGAATACATATAACGAACAAGTTGTACATGTGAAGTTTGTCTAACGAATGATTACATTCGAGACGAACATAGAGAGAGAGAGAGGGATAGAGAGAGAGAGAGAGAGAAAGAGAAGTGAATAAGACTAGAAGACTGAGACATACGTTTTCAATTTAAACGATATCTTTTTATTTTTTAGTTAAATAAAGTAAATTGTTTAAATCTAATTTGCATAATGAGAAACGTTGTTCATGAAATTGAAAACTAAATAGAAAAATGCGTCTTTAAATTGAAAAAAGAAATAAGATACGAACAACTTTAGTTTATAAAATAAATTGCTCTTGGTAGTGTTCACTGGCCTGTTCGTCAGAGTTAGGACTAAATCATATTATGGCGGTATCTCATTTTGAATAAGAAATAGATGAAATAACATCATGATTGATGGATTGTAAACGTTGCGATTTAACAAGTGCCAAACGACTTTGATGATGTATAATCTACGCAAATTCAGTTTATGACTCATAATCTGGCATCATATGTAGATGGGAGAGCTAAAGAGGAGAGAGGGTAGATTGAAATCAAAAACAGAAAGAGCATCTAATGAAGAGGATGAATGAATTGTGATGCAAATGCTATTTGTGCTATTGCTTCTGCTTGTCATGTCAAATACTCAAAAATTATATTTTGTAAAATAAAAAAGATAATTATGAAACATTAAAATAGATTATAGAAACATGTTGATGTTATTATGCAATTCAAAACATATCGTTACATAATGTAATCATTTATGACATTATTATGTTTAACCATGTGGCTTTCTTAAATGAATTTCAACATTTCAATTGAATCATAACATGTAATATGGTCATTTGTCTTGAAATAACATCATCAACATGATATAAGCTTTCAATTTTGCTTAAACCAAGGTAAAATATTATAAAGAGAGAGATGGTGAAAAATAAGAGAGAAAAAGACGGTGAAAGAGAGAGATTGGAAAAACTTTGAAAAAAAAAAGAAAATTTATGTATGTTTGGTCGTTTGGAAGTTATGTCATCGGGTCGTATATAATGACAGCTAGTTGGTTTTTTAATTTAAGGAAACCTTTCATGTTTAGATTAATCAAAGAGAATACTCACTTGATAAGACGGAAGACTATCGAGATGTCGAGCTTTTTCTAGAGGAGAACGCTGAAATGAAAAAGATTATTATAAAATACGGAAATATTTATTTTAATATAGAAAACTTAGTTTTTTAATTTATAGATTATAATAAATCTTTTCTTTTTTTCATTTAATGGTTTCATACATAACGAATGATGACGTTACACATATCTAATCTCTCAGATTCGAACCTTATAGCTATCTACCAATCAACACTTCAACCTCTCCTACTCATCAATTCACCACAACAATTGTTTTCTAACTATATCGTTATTCATCTGTCTTAATTCTCATTTCGTATTTATATCAGAAGTTTCAGTGCCTGTTGATCCTTAAATGAGCTTTGTTGCTCAAAATTATTATTCCGAGTTGATAAATCGCGCGGTGGCGGACGAGGACGAGCACACGCAGCAGCTGCGGCAGATAATTGCTGTTTACGCTGTAGAAGTGAGACTATCGGTGGAGGTCGTTGCTGTGGCGGAGCAACACCAATAATCCGCGCTAGCAGTGGAGGCTCTTGCTCAGAGACGAGCATACATTCATCTAGATAATGTTTAAAAATAGGAGAATCATTTATAATAAGGAAAAAAGGACTATTTGTGATGTTGCTGTTGTTGTTTTATATCTCCTAATGTTGTTGCAGTACGATTTGTACAACAAGATACACACACATACATGCTCACATGCACAATACGCGACAACACGCGACTCGGTAATGTAACATGACACAACAAACCATAAAAAGAGCAATGAAGAACACAATGAACCTGTTGAATAATAGTATGCGTTCGGCTTCAGCTTATACTAACCGTTTCTTGTTCACAAAAAAAACTAACACAGAAATCTAATTTTACAAAACAACAAACACACATAACAGATCTGAGCTCATTTCCGAAATAAAGGAAATTGATATGTGTTTTCGGTCTTGTTTTTTTCGTACAGGAGAACAGCACCAACTGATATTGTTTGAAAAAAGATATATTTATAACTCAATTAAGAGTTATCTTTTGTTGGTTTAACAAATCATAGATGAGTAACCAGTCGGCTGGCAGCAATAGCTTTACTCATGATTATCTTTTGATTTTTTGAGTAAAGAAATAATTATAACTCTCCCATCTCAAGTTATTCCCTGTAACACTCTCATTCACTTCGTCTTTCCCTCCATCTTAGTACAAAAGAAATATTTTTTCGTATATCAGAGAAAAAAAGAAAATAAAGGAAAAAAGAAGGAAAATCTTACGAATGCGAGATATTCGAAGAACAATATGTGCTCTTTCAGATAGTTCCGTTGACGAAGCAAATATAAAGAATATGAGATAATTCATATGTGAAAATGTTTTTTATTTATATGTTAAAAAGTATTTTTTCATATATATTTTTGATTCATTTCTTATTTCTCAAACAAAAGTCCATTAGATGTAACTTCCATGGTCACGAAAGGATTTAATCTGACATCGTTTAAACGTAACGCAATCATTGCGCTGTCTCCCTTAATTCAGCTTAGAAGCTCTAAAACGGACATCATTCGTCATTTCAGGCAGTGTTTAAATCTTATTTGAACCAAATTGAACTAAAACGTTATATTAACTTTTGAACTGAATAGAATTTTCTTGATTCTGTTTTCTCACCCACCCCAATAGCTACAAATGACAATGTTTCAAGTTCAAGTATGGATAACGTAGTGTTTCCAACTAAGGTCATATAACCTTATTCATACCAGTAGGAGAAAGGTTTCTGATTTCAGGGAATAACGATAGCCAAAAAGAGAGGATGCAAAAAAAAAAGAAAAAAAAAACAACTGTTGGGGCTTTGTTTTTTTTTCATAAATAGTTTACTTCACATCAAATCTGACTATAGCTGGTTCCTATGCAAATAAGAGGATTAGGTGTATGCCTATTTAGACTTAAGCTCTCACAGCAACAAGTATGAAAAGAAGTTAATTCTTCTCATTTTTTTTTGTTTCAAAAAGGAAGAAAAAGCAAAACAGAAAACTTCATGAGACAAAAAAATAAAAATATCTGCTAAGAGCAGCTGACTGTTGCAAAATAAAAAAAAAAACCTAAAATAGGAGAAAAAAAAAGAAAGCAAAAAACGTAAAGTCAAAATAAGATAGTTTGAAACATCAATAGAATCAAAATTTCAAAATATTAGTTATTCCATGAAAATATGATGTTTTGTGTGTTTTAAACGCGAACTTGCCATTTTCGATGGCAAATCTTCAGAAGCATGTACAAGATGATTATTGTTTGTTATTAATACATGTTGCTCTCATAAGAAAGATAGATAGAGAGAGACTTACAAACATTTCTAGCTTTTTCCCCCCTCTCACCGACATTATATTTCACAACACCATTTTCATCATCAAGATTTTACTTTGATTACGACAACTTAAGTAACATTGATAATTACCTTCGCCTTTCCGAGTCTAATGGCAACTCCGCGTGCAGCATTGCCGTGCATCTCATATGACAAGACCGGATATCATGATGAGATCACGACAGCCGGATCAATAACACTTTACAGAAATGAATAGAAGTCGTTTGAATATACACACTCAACAAATGAATTAATGAAATCAAACCATGCTCTCAATTCATTTTCGTAGAACTTTTAACTAAACAGCTGGCAACTATAAAAATGTTATGAGCTTCCGAAAATTCACATTAAATATCGTAAAATCAGAGACAGATAGATATGGAGAGAGAGAGATTGAGATGTAGAACGGAAATATTAATATCTTTTAGATCTTCTTATGAATGTTCTTATCGGATTGACGACAGTGTTCAATGGATTGCTCTGTAGGACTTTTACTGCCAGATAGCCATCAGTTATATAACTGAGTTATTGGCATTGCTAATGCGAAATATAAAATTTAATTTTCGTTCAACCTCAAATGTATAATACTTAAGATGGAAATGTTACAAATGGTTTTAAATAAGCTTTTTTCTAACGAATAACGAAAGAGATTACAACCGAACTTTGAAAAGGGTCTTTTGAAAGAACAAAATAGAGAGAGAAACAAAACAACTAGAGAGTCTCTGTCAGGGTTAGATAGCACAGGGTCCAAATGGGCGGGAGAGAAAGACATATTCTTTTGCAAGCTTTCTTTCTCTTTGTACTCTCTAGTTAATGAATAGTATTTGAGATGTATGATGATTGACATCAATTGTTTTAAGATATCATTGACTTATCACCCAACCATCACATTCACATATATAGAAATCTCATTCTTATTTTCATCTCTTCTTGTGGCTCATGAACAATTCAATTCTATTTCAATTGAAAAGCATAAACAAGAGAGTAGTCATTTTGAGACGAGAAAATGGAAGTCAAGGTGACAGGTTGATTCAGTAATTCTCTTTTCTTCAAAATACACGATCATTTTGAAGCTTGAGAGAGAGTCGGATTAATGCATACATTTGAGGATTTCAGAGGTTTTGTTGACTTACAACAAGGAGAAGAAGAGGGAAAGGGGGTTTTATTTCAATAGCTATTTGTATTTTCGTACATTTAAACGAATATCCTTTCAAATCTGCTATATCATCATCAAACATCTCTGATAAGGACAGATTGTTGGAAACAAATGTATTAATTGAAACAAGTAATGAATAAAGGGTAAAAAAAGTGAAAAACAGTATATGACAAGTTTATTTAGATTTCATGTTGAATTCCGTCAAATACTTCATGCATATGCTAGTACAACATGTTGTTTTCATAGAGTCTGTATCAGATTATTATCTTTTCTTATTCAATTTCTCTTCATTTCCTTCTTTCTCTCCTTCTTTCCCTCTCTTTCTCTCTCACTTTTTTTTTTCTTCTTTTTCTCAATTTCGTTTTGTTTTCATTTTCACTTCCAAAATAAACGAAAAAAAAGTTTTTTTTTAAATTGAATAAGAATTCGAATACTAATCTCTCATTAATACATTAACTATAACATTGCTGCGTATTTCAGGAAAAGCTGCCTTTTGCACTCTTTGCAATTGAAAAATCAACGCGCACATATGAACATTTCAAAAACATTCACTTATTGTTTTGAAAGCTTTTTTTCTTTCATTCTAATTTTCACAGCCAAAAAAAGGAAAAAAAACGGAAAAATCGGTTGAGTGTGTTAGTGTGCTCTATGTGAGTATGTTAGGAAAGTGGGGGGTATGTTGCGAAATGCGGGATAAGCAGCTTATTCATCTCATTCGGAACATTCTTTTTTGTGTTGTTGCCAACATTAAGGTCAGTTATATATCAACACAAAAGCCCATTAATTTGTCTCACTTCAAGCCTATTGACATATGTTGGACTTGAAGCAAAAGTGAGAAAGATGAATTGAACTCAAATGAATTATTTCATTAAAAGGCCAATTATCAGAATGTCGTCAGTGTGTAATGCACTCAGCTATGTATAGGAATATATGAATGAATAGAAATATTTATGAAAAAAACTAATTGAAAAGATTTTCTTCAAATTTTTTTTCATACAAATATTTCTTGAAAATGTCTATGGGGAGCAATTTGAAAATTCTTGTGGCAGACGCCTGAATCTCTTGTGTCTCATATAATCTTTTCGCATGTCTTGACTACATTGACTTTTGCACTGCTTGAACACAATCTCTTAAGTTTAAGAAGAAAAGGGATTCTCAGTGCTTATTCAACTAACTCGTTCGGACACATGGGAATAGATGAAGATATAGTTCTTCAATAATGTCCTACATTTTGAGGCTTCACCGCAACATTGACTGAACCCATTGGCAGCGCTCATATCCGCTTTGGGACACTTAGGGTACCAATTGATTTACATATCTCACTGTATCCCTTCAAGAGGCTATTTAGGTCAGTCACTTTGGGAAAAGCTCGTTGCTAAGCCTTTTAGTTGCTCATTCGGGCTCTTCATAGACGTGAACAGAGAGTTTAAAGCTTTGAAAACCGCATTAGTTCATTCAAGCTTAAAATGGGGAACAATTTTTGAAATCTTCACTATTGAAGCAGGTCATTTGATATGTTGAGAAAACGTTCAAAGGTGAAATTGAACTATTTCAAATTTTCTCTCTCATCTTTTAGAAGATCATCCAATTTCGGAGTATCCTCATTCAACTCAATTTAAGCAGACTGATGACCGGAAAATAGTCTTTGCGATTACCGAACGAGTGAAAAACAATCCATCTTAGGAGCTAAAGCTATTTGCAATATAAGCATAAGTGCTTTTGAATAAGAAAATCAAATAAACAAATGAATGAATGAATAAATGGACTAAATGAACACAAAGTCTTAAATCATGAATGGAACATTCAGCAGTCGATCTTTCTCTCTTTCTCTTATCTCTCCAGCGCATACATGGACATTGATGAATATTTAAACGAACGGATTTTAGGAAATAGAATGTTTTGCCGGAAAACTTTGAATTATTATTTAGATTCTTCAACCAATGACCAGGAAATGCGTTGATGACGCTTTCTGCTAAAGATAAGGTCTGATAACATATATATATATATATATATAGTTAATTATATATATATATATGAAGAGAAAAAGAGATGAAGACAGATAGCTGGATAGAATGAGATAGAGATGTGTATATATATGTGTATATATATATATATATGTGTACATGTATATATATATATATATGGTTAGGCTTCTCTTTTCTCTTTCTAAAAAAATATTATGCAAAAAGAGAAATAAAAAAAATGATTGAGTTAGCAATATTTAAGTTTTTCATCAACTTGTTTTAGTAGTGAATTCTAACTAATTTGTTTTGTTTACGAACAGCCCAAAAGCTTTTTTTTTCTGTCAAAATATGATATAGAAGAGCTTCTCTCTTTTTATATTTTTATTCTGCTTTTTTTTTGTTGCAAAAATGGAATAGTAGAGGTGGGAGGGAGCGGGAGATATACGTGAATGTTCATCAGCCGAAAAGACTCTCAATATGTGAAAGTATATTTATAATGTTTATATTGCATTTTACACCGTCTTTGTAGATGTTTGAGTATATTAAATTACAACTTTATAACTCAAACAAATTGAATGAAGATTCGAATAGAAGTAAAAGAAGATTACATCAGAGTCAATTTGGGAGAATGTTTCAATAAAAATAATTTTTTTTCTCGAAAAATTCCAAAATAAAAACAAAACAAAGCAAAAACGGAAACGGAAACGAAAAAGAGCTAGTTGCTTGCAATCATGTTTCATATTTAATGAGATGAAAAGAACGAAAAAAAAAAGAAAGAAAATTGAAAGAGAATTCTTGGAAATGTTTCCAATTTACTTGTAATTGCCATTTGATTTTACCTAATCCTTTACATCTTAAAGAGATTCAATTGAGCACTACGATCCAAAGATGGAAACCATTCAACCCGTATGATAATGATGATGTAATTTGCAACTTATTTCCTGCCCTAATCTTCTTGAATAGTTCTAATTTCCATATACTTAAGAAACAGCCCGTAATCGACATCTTCACATATTCTACTTTCATAGCATCTTCTTCTACTTCTACTTCGTTCTACATCATCATGGAAATGAGGGAAGCAATGCATGAACATGTGTCAAGCAAGTGAGAACTCTCCTCTCTTAAGCAAATAAGGAGTAAACTCATCTCTTCAATTACATCTCAAAATACATCCAAAGTCCATAAGAGGATCAAAATCATAAAGCTCAACAACAGAATATACATATTCAATTGTATTTACATAAATGAGATATCTTCAGATATATATACTTATATATATGTATTATAATTTTTTAAGACGACACAAGTTGAAATAACATGAAAAAACACACATAAAAACCCATTGACGACTTGCATTAATCCCTTAGGGACTCTCACAACACTCATCTAAAAGCCTTGTCCGAATGGTAAACGAAATGAAGAAAGCATGAGACATTCTTCATCAACAACACAAAAAAACCGACTATTATATTATAGGCAGGCTTTTATCAGTTTATGTGATCAACGAAATGACCACTTCAAAAGAAAACTTGAAATATATGTTGCCAAACACAATCTTCCCAATTCTCTATCTCTCTATTACTCTCGTTTTTCTATTTCTTCCACAAAGAATGAACATAACAGAGCTGTTATTACTCACTCTCTATGTCCTGTTAATTTGGAAACATACCTTAGGTGGCCTGAACATTGAGGTAGAGAGCTTGTAACCTAATCATTTGATAAAACTACTCCCTATCTGAATATATACATACATATATATATATAATTAATTAAAATAATTCTGCTGGAAGAACAATCTGTTCACGCTCAAACGAATCTCTAGCGTGACAATAATAGTCAAATAAAAAATAGAAAAAAGAAAAGAAGAAAGAAATTTATGTTCTAAAAAGATATATACTATATGGCCATTACATGAGAGAGAATGAGAGAGCAAAGAATCGATAGAACGAGATTATTCTTGTCTCTGTTTATTTTATAACAAAAATTTGTTGAACAAAAGCAAAAATTGTAATTCATTGAACAAG